AGTAACTGTAGGTAGTTACTCCTGAGCTACGCTGCTTCAACACTATTATTTTTTACTTTTCTCGACAGTTTCACTTCTTGGAGTAAAGCATGAGAGAGGAAAACAAATGAGTTTTCGGCCTGGCTTCTTTCTCTTCATTTCCACTTTCACCAGTGTTTTCACACAAAGAGGAGCCAGTCTGCCAACAGCTGACAGTTACTCCGGCTAGTTGCTGTAATTATTCATAAACAGAGAGAAAACAAACAAACACAAACATGTTTTTTTCATGAGGTGGATATTCAACCGCAAACTGCTCTTAAAACCYAATCATTTTTTCATGAGTAGCCTTTTCACACATGCAGATGTTCCGTAAAGTAAAACGTTTTTAGATTTGTTTTCAACAGCAGCTCTGTGTCTCCTGGCAGTGAGACGTGGAAACAGTGAGAAGAGATGTTACACTTGTTGCTCGGGGGGAAAGCTACCCCTATAAACTTTATTTCTTCCCATCAGGATGAAAGTGCACGCAGTAAACAGGTGTTTATGAGAGGAAATAAACAGAGAAGGTGTGACCATCTGCCCCACTGAGCAGAAATGTGTAATTTAATCAAAACTTCTTTCTCCTGGTCATTTCTGAGGCACGTCAGTATAACACAGGTTATTCAACTAAATCACTGTGGGGACCGGAGTTACTGCAGGCCAACAGCACAGGGGCCGSACATCCAGCAATTAAAGTCATTGTGTAAATAAACTAAATATTAATAAAGTCTGTTACCTTTGAAATAGGTTATTTTGCTGCATTTAATCATGAATACAAAATACAGAACCCTATTAATAAAAGTAGCGGTGATAAAACAAGATCAAAAACAAAAATAACACATTATGCCTCCTACACAAATATTATTTTTGACATCTCTGATTTGTCAAATTTTTAGACCAATTTTATTTCCACTTTTAAAGTTTTATCTGCAACTGCTTGTAGTTTTAACTGTCTTAGTTGTTAATAGAAACGTTTTTTACCAGCTTCTAGCTAAGATTCTGACTTTTCTGTAGACACCACACATCTATGTCTAACTAACACAACTTAAAACAACACCATTTGAATAACCCTGGTAAAACATGTATGTGTCACATGACACATACAATAAGTGAGATTAGTAATTAAAAAAACCTTTTGCTTCTAAACTTTGCTCAGCTTGACTCTGTTACAACTAAGATGTGGCCTGATTGTGTATATATACATGTATGTATATATTTAT